TGCATGATAGAATGAATCTCAAAAGGAGAGGCAGTTAAGCCTCTATCACTTTCCTTTTCTTTTAAGATGCCTTTGAAGTGAGACACTTCATATGATGGCTGTTTGGCTGTGGGTGTTGCATCATTGTGGTTTGAGTGCTTCCGACTATTTCCCTTTAACTTTGGAAAAAGATACACTGCCAACAACCAAAAGTAAACTGTACTTATCCACATATAATTCCCCCCATACCTTAAATCATGAGTTTGCCTCCACAAAACATAAACTGTTCAGGGTCAGTGCAGGATTATCCCATCAGAAACACAGTAAATAAAGCCATTACAATAGGAAGAGAATTGGGCAGTTAGAATATTTTTGTTTCTCTTAAGTAACACAAAAATTAAATAAACAGATGAGTTAAACTGCTCTCATGCATGATTTGCAGGAGAAAATATTAACTACTTGAATGCCAAGGTTAAACTAAGCTCAAGAACATCCATAGCTCAAAACAAGAGCTGAGTCAGTAGTAGGCTATGAAATCAGAAAACAACTTGTAATTTATACTTTAGGAAGAGTTTTAAGGGATTTTTTTGTTTTGTTATTAAGTTGATTAACTATAAAAGGGACCTCTGTCAAGACATTTCAATTGAGTCATAAAGTTCTAAGTTTGACTTAAACTGTAGACCATCAGAGTACCACGATTATTAGAGCTTAGGCCCTGGATCGAAAGTGCTGAGTTTTGGATTTGGGTTGTGGGGAAAAGGGGGCACAAAGAAATCAAAATCTGTCTCACAGAGGCTGTGCAAAATGAATTTGGATCCTTCTTGTGCCACCGAATAAACCCTGATCAATAAAAACCTTTCAGATGCTTCTTAACTCAGTGCTATCAAAACCCTGAAATACTCACCTTTTTAGGAGAAATGGTCCAGAATCAAAAATTGTAATGATAATCAAGTGAAGTGAAGGATTGCCAGTAAGGACAGAAATAGGAGTGAAATGCTGGTCTTACATTACTAGTAAAAACCTACAGGAACATGAATGCAATGAAAACATTCTGCTTCCAGCAAGGTAAACAGAGATCAGTATCTCAGGAAAAAAAAAAATTCAACAGTGAAGAGCTGTGCTATTTAGAGAAAATTAAAAATGGAGACTTTCAAGACTTTTAGTAGACTGATTTACTACATTTGCACATTGACCCAAGTCAGTATACTGTATTACTGTTCGAGGCACTGTCATTTCCAAACTATACTTTCCCCTCTCAAATTATCCTTTTGCATGAAATGAAGTATCACAACTGTAGGAACATCAAAAAATCCACATCATGTTAAAGACATGGAGAAACATAAGCAAACCAAAATAAAATGTAAACAAAATTAGTGGTCTGACTTAAATTGACAAAACCATAGCAACCCAGTAAAGTCTGAAAATCTAGCTTCACATTGTGTCCCTTGATGAAACTTGTGTGTCATTTACTCATTTGTTAGTTTTGTGGGGTTTTTTTCCTGCACAAAAGATAAGGGTACTGCTAATTAAAAAATATTATGTTATCAAAACGACATTGCCCAGAATACTTTAAAAATGTTTCTATTTACTTTTCAAATTTCAGGTCTGGGTAATGAAAACCATATTGCAGGAAAATAAGATAAATTCCCAAATCAGGTAAGAATACAAAAACCTTAAATCTTATAAAGTACTATCCAAAGTTTATCCAGCCCTCACACACAGCAGAGCCTAAACCACAGACTTCTTGCTTTCAATGCATACTTTTTAAATAAGAAAAGGATTTGCCCAGGAGACAAATTATCTGTGTAGTCTGGCAGTGTCTCAGTATGCTACCAAGTCTTGCTTTCTTACACACCAAGGTCCTTTTTTTCCAGGTTGCTTAGAGCAGAGGCAAGACTAGCTTTATGAACAGGAAGCTTACAGGGGCAACTACACCTCATTTCATCATACTATATGTTTTGCTTAACTAGCCTTCAGGCTAAATCCTTTTGAATGCTCTTGATCAGCTTATGTAGAAAAACGAATTCCTCTTTAACATGCCAGTAATCCAAAGTATGGAAAAAACTATTCAAGACCTTACATCACAGAGATTCCATTTTACTGTATAACACAGAAGAAAATAAAAGGTCAAAATACAAATGTTTGAAAACTCTGACTGTGGGAAAAATAAAAAACCCTTTTGTTTCGATAGTATGTGACATTCTCTATAATCCTTTCTGAGTTCAATTTCATTATCTCAGAATAACCAGTTTCTCAGAAGGATCATAACCGCAAGTAACCTCAGAAAAATGCTTTGGCTTTAAAAACGGACTAGAAATCTAATGGGAAGAATTATTATTATTATTATATAACTTCCAGTCCAAACTAAGAGATACAGGTGGCTTGGATCGTCCATACAAACATTAGACTAGCCTTCAGCTTCAGATGCTTTATATTAGGTTACCTTAGGATGTGAAGGTTTAAATTAGTGGGAATTTTGCAGTTGATTCCAAGAGACACTTATCTGCCACAATGTTGCCTTAACAAGGTATCAGTGCTTGCCAAAAACTGTTTCTTGGTTTACTTACAAATTATTGCTAAAAATATTTGGCTTAACATATAATGGGTTCAAATTTTCAGGTGGTATAAATCAGTGAAGCTGCAGAACCATGCCAATTTAATCCACTTGAGGATCTACCTGTAGGGTTTATCCCATTTAAGATCACTCATAGCAGTAAAGTAATTATTTTAAAATCTTCCTGATTTTACATGGCAGGTAGTCAGAGTGGTTTCACCAAGGGCTACTGCATTTTTGTGGTTCTAATCAGCAAATCAAGCAAACCCATCCTTTCAGAAATGTATTATTCCTTAAAAGTAAGACTCCAATTAACCTAATTTTTTTCTTTATTCAGTCCTGGCACCACTCAGAAATTATATGCTTTATTTAAATTTAGACAACACAGATGCAAACATGCCTTTGCAAGGTTGCTTACAATAGAAAAACCTGAATAACAGTGATTCATTGCTATTAAAAGGTTTATTCATATTAGCTATTCACCCAACTTTGTGTGAATACTTGTCCAAGCTCATCTTTCAACCTCCTTTTTTTCAAAAAATTGTATAAAAAATTTGAAAATTGTACAACTTTCCAAAAAAAATGTATCAATTCAATTTATTTCCCTCAATGTAATGCTTTCATGATAAGAAATAAATTTGCCACTTATTGGCAAATGCACTTGTGCATTTAGCCTTACAGGGAGAGAAAGAAAAAATAATCATCTTAACACAACTGCAACTGGGAATTAGCTTCTTCCGCATTACTTCTACAGACACGTACTTATTCCATGCTGCTGCAGAAGAGGAGATTCTTCTAGTCAACCGATATGTATTTAAGAAATTTGGGCATTTGCCTTATTTTAAAATAACACAAGGCATTTGGAAGTCAAAGATTAAGCAACCTAACATGAGAGAGAGCAAATCAATGTCATACATATCAATTATAATAGTTATAGGCTCGCATTACTGTAGTGGTTTTTTGACTAAAGCACACATAATGCAAAATACTGCAATGTAAAAAAAGAAGAAAATCAATATACCATTGTGTAACTCAATGAAAATTAATTTATCAAGTAAGAGCTTGCAGCATTGAAAATTCTTGTTAACTATTTCCCTTGTATCTTGATTTTGGATAAATCTTTATTACTGTACTGTATGAAAGCACTAGCAGTTTAGATAAAAAAATAGATATATGCAATCTTAAAAACCTTCACCTGCCCATTCTTCCTCTAAGAGTGCATCGAGCAAATGTTTATCAAAATATTTAGCAAAAGGTAGGACTGACCAGTAAGTGATATCTTTAACTGCAAAACTTGTTTCTTCAACTTCTGCTCTGCTATAATGTTTTCTAAGTCAAGTTCTTTCCATTCAGAAAAAAACCCATAAAATCAAGTAACTATCCAAGTCTGTAACTATGCAAGTGTTGTGTGAAATAATTTGTTGAAGATGGCTAACTTTCCAATGGTTTCCATGGAGTTGTAAATAGCACAGAACAATGTGAGTTAGAAGGGACCCTTGAAGGTTATCTTCTCCAGCCCCCCCTACAATAAGCAGGGCATCTTCAACCAAGTCTTTTGATTAGCTTCTATATAGAACATGACTTAGAGTTATATCTAGCTGGTTTTTTTTATTACACCTTGTAATTAAATTTATTTCATGACAGAGAGCATTAATGTGTGTTCACTCAATATGCATTTCAACACTGATGGGCATAGTCTGAGAATTGTCTGAATGTTTCTTTGGCTGACCAAACTAGAGTATTTTTCATTACACGAAAGATCTGCACATATAATTTACTTCTTTTTGGTTCTTTACAATGGCTGAAAGTGACTTGTAATTCTCTCATAATGTGCAATATCACTAAACCTGCTACTACTCAAAATATTCAAACATACTAAAAGGCCATTTCAAAAACTAAGGAAGTCTACTGACTTTTGTGAAGCTCAACTATCCACAAATAAGATCTCTCACATGATTATAAAAAGTGTAAAAAACTGAAAATTCTAATAAACACCATTTTTTCCTTTAACAAAGAATAATTTCAAGAAGTATTATTGTGAAGTAAACTGATAAAGATACTCTTGGAGGAAAGTAAGATGGATACATTAATTAGACTGATTTGAAGATGGAGGCCAATTTCCCATGGATTGTGCTAGAACAAGGATTATGAAGCATAGGTTAAGTTATCCTGGATATATTTGCTGATTTCCCTGATATGAGAGCAGCAAACAATAATTCCAGTAAGTAAATGTGATGGCCAATAAACTACTGATTAAAATTAGCCTTACTTTCTCTGACAAGATCCCAAGACCCATATTGACTTACACTGCTCCAAAGTCAAAGACTTCAGTCAGTGGCAAATCAATACAGTGGTATCTAAAAGGTACCCTGTTTTGATACAGTGTAAGGAATTGCTTTCTAATTTACTGTAAAAAGTGAACAAAAGCACTGGAATGCATAAACTTAAATTTACCCGTTTCACTGACCTTGAAGCTGGCGCCCTTTGTACAAATCCTTTGTTTTTGTTGGGTGAGCTCTGGCACCATTGTCACATTTAGGTTGTTCATACCTGAAGAACAAACAGGGAGAGAATAAAACTAGCCAAGGTTAATTGGATTAGGAATTAATTCATTTCAAATTTTGCAATCCTCATATCTTCTTGTATTTAGGAAATAAGCCCACATTTTCATTCAGAGGGCAATGCAAACTTATCTGTCTTTCACTTCCTCAAAGAAACCATCTTTATTCTCCTGGAGTTGATAACAAACTAAAAAAAAAATTCTCTCTTGTAAAACCCATTCTACTGGGAGGAAAACTAAAGAACTGCTACAAATTAATACAAAATAAAAATTATTTTGAAAAACATACAAAAGAAGCCCCACAGAAGTAAAAAAGAAAAAAATGACGCTGTCTCCCCCCTTAAAAAAAACGGAGTCATAAACAACACCACAGACAGTATTCATGTTGGGAAACACCAGAGAAACAAAGAAACAATACCAAAATCACAGCAAGGCAGGTACTGTAGTTAGGGACTACTGCAGCTCTAAAAAGTTTAAGTAAGAAGGGTTATGTTTTGAACAAGAGTGCAAAACTGATAGGATTTCCAGAAGGAGGATAATTGGGCTGGAACTGCTTGAAGTGAATTGTGAAGAAGACTGAATCTCCACCTGCTACTGGAATATTCTGGTTCTTCTATGCTTGTTGAGTTTACTTAAAGTCACATTGTTCGTCTAACTGTTAACAAGAAATTCTGCTATTTGTACTTCCAACAAACAGTGACTTATGCAACACCACTAGCAATATCTTTTATGCAGGACCAGGAAGCATGGGAGGAACACCTGTTGCTGAATCTCACCCTCCTTTTCCATGTCCCACTATCAAAGCATGGTGGTTTTTCACTCACCTCAACAGAGTCTCTTTATGAGAAATTTTTACTTTATTGTCCTGAAGCAGACTGAAGTTTCAGGACTTAGCAGGTAGTACTTCAGAGAATATTTCAATTCTCAGTTAAACGAACACGCGTCGTGTCTATGTACATGCATGTGCACATATTGTTCACTGAATAGATTCTAGACTTTTTCATAGTTTATACAACTGAAGTTCTCCTACTCCAACTTCACCAAAAGCACATTTACTGTGTGGCATACTTAGATTTCTTATTAAATTATACTAATCCAATTATTTGGAACAAAATATTTCTAAAAACATTGAATGGTGGCAATGTCCTGGATTCAGGTCTGACTGCTTCTAAAAACAATGCCTAAATATTTTGCTCTTAGTTATCGGGCAGCAGAGAGAACTGCAATATTATTTTTTTCCTTTGAGCACTTAATTTATTTCTATACCATCCGATGAAACTGACTACTAGCCCACCAAGTTTTGGCAGCTGCAAGAAGGTATAGTATCATTTTTATGGACATGGGAGAGCTACAGACTCTTTTTTACCCTAAAGAATAGCAGAAATAGAAGGTGCTTTGATAACATGGGTTGGATTCAGATACTTGATGGATGACCACTTCAATCAGCCAAGAAAACAGTGAAAGGGAAGTCTCTGAGCAATACCCACTAATGCAGTGTCTGGCAAACAGCCTGGCCCCTGATTAATCTGATACCTGACTCTGCATTCCCCTCCCACTCTTCCATTACTGTGGCTGCTCTGTACCTACATTTAATTTTTTGGCCTCTACTCTTCTACCCTTTTGGCTGATATTTTTGTTAAATACACACATAGTCCATCATATACAAACTGCATCTATAAAAGCCCGATAGGTGTTAAAATGCTGCAATGTGAAAAGTCTATGTTTAACTCTTTAAAGCAACTGAAGAAAGAACACAAGTCATTTAAAGTTTGCCATACAGGAGCACCCATGCTAAAAAATGATAAGAAAAACAGACTTGCCTCAGTTTTCGTGAAGAAAGAGTGGGAACGGGATAGTATGTCAGAATGGAGCACAGGTTAAAAATAGTGTAGTTAAAAGACATCCCAAGTTACTCTTTTGAATTTAAAAGGGGAAAGAATCCTCAGCAGTGAATGTATATCTAGAATTGGCAAGGGCTTAGGAAGATTGCTTTATACCTCTGATCAGTCTGCTGGGAAGCATTGAGATTTACTGAGATGTACAAAGCAGAAGAGGATGGAGGCTTCCACAGGGATTCAAAAATGAGGGCAGCTTCATGCAACAGATGATTTATGTTCCTTTTTAAGTTTAGAGAATCTTGTGCAAGTTTGGGGTTTACTCTGCACAAGATCCTAGTTGCTAAAAAAGTCACATGTCAGAACTCAGCCTCATGGTCCCCAATCAGCCGAAAGGCTGAGGTTCATGCTGTGATTTCCAAGTGGCATTGCGAGCCAGCTGGTGAGGAACACACCAACACTTTTGTGGGAATGATTGTTTTCAGCCTTTAAATGCATTACCTCCTTTTAATCCAGATTTATTCCACAACTTCACCGATTTCTTTCGTTTTACTGTCTTAAATGTCCTAGAAGGGTTCTTCATTGGCATACCTTCATTTTAACTCTAGAATGAGTTTCTTTTTTTCTGAAATACCTTCACTGACAAATGATTTGTCTTTTTTTCAGATGACAGTGTATTAGAAGGTGAGTGTTAATAACTTCCCTTCATTTTGAGGGTCTTAATTAACATGATTACGATTTATTGAGATGTTCAGAACCTTATAATATGACAAATATCATTCTCATGAGTACATTCAAAACAAATAGCAAGCAGAATGTTGAGCTGTTCTGGCAATAGCTTTCTGGATCTGTCTATCCTTTGAGTGTTTTCCCTTACCAATTTGACCCTTATTTGCAGTACGGGCATTTTAGAATGCTACGCACCCATCTTGCTACCAGGAGTACTAATGGTATCAGCTCCTGCAGTAGAGTTTTAAGATCCTTTAATTTGTACTTTGAAGTGGAAAACCGAAAGACAGTACACTAAATTTTGCACAAGCCCCTGACTGTTTAAACTAGGAAGGACTCACATATTCCTTCTTTCCATTCTATAAGAATTATAAAAAGACAAGTGTATATTCCTCATTATATTCTGGTTCCCATTTAGTTCCCTCTCCCTGAAAAAAAAAAAAGTTTAGTTTTATAAATACAGAAAAGAAAATTAAAATCAAGAAATAATTAATGGGATTTCAGCCCATCTAAATATTTCTCCGAAATGAGGTCTAGACATTCCTCCTAAACTCCAGGCATTAATCCCACCTGCTTGTTTACCAAGACTGTAGATTCCTAAATACACCAGTCATTCTTTATTTAGTATGAAATTCCTAAAACTGAGTACTCTCCTTACCCATCTGTGCTCAGAAATGTCCTCTTTGGGGATATCACTAAATTTTACTTCCGCAGAGCTTCACTGAGGACTGACCTTAAGTAAATGGTCAAGAACATAGCAGCTGATCTTTTAGTATCAGTCATCAGGCAGAGCACTTTTGTGTCTAAACCATATGCATGGAAAGATTGTATCCAATTTTCCAGCCTTTCAACCTTGAGACATGCAGCACAGTGAAAGGTCTTCCTGCTGCCTCTTCTCCCACAGCTGAGCGACTGTGTAGTTGCCAAAAACAAGAGCCCAGCAGACCAAACAGGGGAAAAAAAAGAGACAGAGACTAATTCTAGGTCCATAGGTGATTCATCAAGGGGTTGAGAAGGCCTAGAATTCCAGTCTGTATGACAGCAGGAGCCAAAATGGCACATACTGCGTGCACACTATACATATTAATAGGAAAGCAAGGTGGCTGATTTTGAACGATCATCACCTTCAGTTTCATAAATGGCTCATCCTGATGTGCAGGACGTGGCAGGAAGCCCACAGAGATGAAGAAAGTGCACCTAACAAAATTCACAGTTAAAAAGAAGCGTGCAATTGATCAGCTGATACAGGAGGAACAGACACCGTTCAAGTGCGCAGGGATGGGGTTGGGAATCTGGTAAGGAGCATGAAGGCAACAAGAACTTCCTGCATGTGTATCAGCAGCAAAAAGAAGACAAGGGAAGCGTGAGGCTGCTGCTGGGTGGGATAAGAGACCTTGTGACAAAGAACAGAGAGAAGGCAGAAGTACTCAATGGCACCTCCTCCCTGTTCTTTACTTGTAAGACCAGTCTCCAAGGAATCCCAGGTTCTTGAGAGCAGTAGTAAAGTCTAGAGCAAGGAAGACTTATCCTGGGTCATGAAGGATCAACTCAGGGATTGTTTGAACAAATTGGACATACATAACTCCATGGGACCTGATGGGATGCACCCACAAGTGCTGAGGAAGCTGGCTGATTTGTGGGCCGCTCTATTATATCTGAAAGATCTTACTGACTGGGAAAGGTTCCTGGGGACTGGAAGAAAGAAAATGCCACTTCTGTGTTCAAGAAGGGCAAGGAAGAGCCAAATAAGCCAGAGATACACACCTCAGTTTCTGAAAAGGTGATAAAGTAAATCCTCCTATAAGCTATTTCAAAACATATGAAGAAGAAGGTGATTGAGAGTTGTCAGGATGGAATTATGAAGAGGAAATCATACTTAGCCAACACTGCAGCTTCCTGTGATTCTGCAACTTGCCCAGTGGATAAGGTGAGATGGGCAGATATTATTTATCTTAATTTTAGCTAGGCTTTTGACACTGTCTCTGAGCACATTCTCACAGACAAACTGATGAAGTATGTACGAGATAAATGAAAAGTGAAGTCTGTTGAAAACTGGCTAAAGAGCCAGTTTCAAATAGTTGGGATGAGCAGAAACATTTCAGCTGGAAGTCAGTCACCAGTGGAGTGCCCCAAAGCTTGTCTATTATTAAACAATTTCGTTTAACCTCTTCCTTAATGACCAGGACACTGGGACATGGAACACCATTAATAAGTTTGCAGATGATGCGAAATTGGGAGGAAGTGTCTGATACACAAGACAGTTGTGCTGCCATTTAGAGGAACTTCAACAGGCTGCAGAAATGGGTTGTCAGGAATCTCATGAAGTTTAAAAAAGCAAAATTCTTGCCCCTGGCACAGATTAACTCCCTGCATCAGTACAGTATGGGATCAACCAGCTGGAAAACAACTTTGAAGCAAGACCCTGGGATTTCTGATGGATGCTGAGTATAAGGCAGCAAAGAAGGCCAATAGCCTCCAGGGCTGCACTAGAAAAAGTACTGGCATCAGGTCAAGGGAGGAGACCCTTGCCCTCCCGTTCACAGTGGGAGAATGAGACTTATCTGCAATGTTGTGTCCAGCACAGAGCTCCCCTAAGAACAGAGACGTGGGCACACTGGGTCTAGCAAAGGACCACAAATATGATTAAGGGACTGGAGCATTTGGTATAGTAAGAAAAGAATGATGACCATGTTCACCTTGGAGAAGAAAAGGCTCATGAGGGATCTTAATGATGTCTCTAAGTATCTAAAGAGAGGAAGATAATGAAAGGGAAGTAGAAAATAAACTGGACATAGTCCTGAGCAACCTACTATAGATGATCTTGCTTTGAGTAAGAGGATTGAGTCAGAAAACCTACAGAGATCTCTACCAATCCCAACTATTCTGTGACCATATAATAAAATTATATCAATAAGAACGAAAACACACACAAAAAAACAAAAACCAAAAAAGGAGAAAAAAGAAAAAGAAACAATACCACAAACCCTCCCCCAAAAAACCCCAAACCAAAAACCCACAAGAAGAAAACCCTAACAAAAACAAAAAAAAAAAAAAAAAAAAATATTCCCAAAGTTTGGTGCTTGATGAAGCAACAGCACCTCTGCTCCAAAGAGAGGTGAATTGCAGGAGTCAAGTAATTGTATTTTCAATCAGCTGCTCATGCTGGGAGGTTTTAGATATATATATTTAAGAAAAAAAAAAAAAAAAAAAAAATAAGACCCCACCAAAACCCAAAACCCAACAAAAACAAAACCACAGCAGAAGCTGCATTGCTTGACGAGCACAAAAAGATGATTTGGACTCAAATTAGGGAACAGGAAATAAAATTATTTAAGATAATAAGGATTAGCACTAAAAAGAAGAAACAGTGAAAAAGCCTAGGGGTGGAGAACAAAGTGCATAAAAGGGAGTATCTGGAATCTCTAGAAGTCATCTTTAGATCCTCATACAATATGTATTGTGATCCTACAGTTTCAGCATCAAATTTAAACTATTAATTTTTGACCATTTATGGACCTCAACTTGTCAAAATCAGTTATCAACAGTGACTTTAAGTGATAAAATCAAAGAATCCTTAAGGTTGGAAAAGACCTCTAAGATCATCAAGTCCACTTCAGGTGGCACTGTAATTGGCATAGTCTAGACTATAGTATAAACAGGTAGCAATAACTCAGCACTTGAAGAATACGTGAAAAAATCCTCCCCAAGAATATACTATTTTACAACAAGCGGCTTATAACGCATGTCTCTTTCACAAACCTTATGCAAATGATAAAAGAGATTTTGCTTAAGTTATAAAAGAGTTATGATTGCATCAAGATACCTATACTGCCTGCCAACTCCATATGAGCTTCTATAGCATTCCTACAAGGGCCAAACCTCAATAACCAACCTAAATAACATCCTTTAGAACCTGATATGTGCTTTGCCTACATCTGCACTGTGTGGCTTACAATAATTTACCATGTATCCGGCTCAGCTGAGATGACTGAACTCCAACTTTCTATTAATAACACACTAAAATGATATTTCCTAGCTATGGGTTCCCAAGGAGTTGTTCCATCAAAGATCATCATATTAAATAGTTGAGGAGGTTGCTGGAAAAATAAAAAAATAACTAAGCATTTCTGAGGCTGGATGTGGTTTGTGTCATAGGCCATCTCACTTGCCTCTTTTATATTCAGGATAAGGAGGGTGAGATTTCCTCTGGGATCATTCATTATATGCTTCAAGTCTTGGATTCCTAGCACAAAAAAAGGAGTAAAGAAGAGGACTAGGATGGCAAAACTGCCTGTGCCATTGCAGTGAAAGAATCTGTGGCCATCTGGCCTTAATTTTTGATGTCTCAAAGTATTTCACTTTATAAAAAAACTGTATGACATAATTCCACCGGCAATAGAAATCTTCATGATAGTTCATGGACACTAGGGCATGTTCTTACCAGAGCTTTTGAGAACTGAACATGTACTCTCATACCTGGTTGAGGTACCGGGGATGGGACGTCCCGTGTCCACCAGCACACACCAGCAGTAGCCCGTGGAAGGATGGCACTGCACTGGTTTGTAGAGGCCGCCCTGAGCACACTCTGGAATGAACACATTGTCCTTCTGGGGCTGCTTTGCTTCCTCCAGGGCTGACTGAAGCTCTTGGTCACATGACGATGCTTTTGGATGGAAAAGAAAAAGCACTGAAGAAGATAGATGGAAAGAGCCTACTCAATTTATCAAAGAGATTTTATACCTTTCTTTGATTGCATATAAGGATTTTCTTTGTTAAAGCTTGCTACAGCTCAAATACCAGCTACATTGGTTTAGGCTATATATTGTTAAAACCTTTGTTTCCTTTTCATGCAGCTGCTTCATTTTATAGTCCTAATAGTATTCTGAATGCCCCCTTTCATATACTTGATGTAATCTATGGATAAGCATATACTTTGTGACCCTAAAAAAATCCTCATGCACTCCACAGTCCCTAAAGAACGGATCCTTTTCAGAGTCAACAGTAAAAATACAACTGCCTAGGATTCCTTAAATGAATTATTCATATAGATATTTATTTGGATGCTTATACTCTGCTTGTTCTCTCCAGTTCTGAAACAACCTCTTAACACAGTGAGAATTCTTCCACGTTCTTTTCCGGTGATTCTGGTGTTGGCAATGTATCATTTGCTCTGGAAAGCGAAGACCCACAAAAAGAATACATTTTTATGTCATGGAATCAGTATGTCTGCAATCTTTCAGAATCTGTGAAAAACTTACATATTTATATATTCTCAGCCTTTACATGAAACTATGAGGCAAGGGGGAAAGAGAAGAAACCAGAGGGCCTGAAAAGGCCTGTCATTTTACACCAATCAGTAAAATAACACCTCTGCTGAGGATTTTTGGTCACTAATAAACTGGTACATGTGAAAGTTCAGAGACAGTAAGTAAGAAAGACTATATATTCAGGCCATTATTTTTCCAGGGAATTTAAAATCACCTATCATTTGAAATTTAGATTGTTAAAAATACATTTCTAAATAACTCCTACACTATCCATTAGGAAAAAAATATTAAATATTTGAAAAGCAAGAATATTAAGCACTCTGCAGATGTTCAAATTACTAACAGGAAAATTTCAAGCCAGTAAAATTTCAATCAGTAACAGATTCTCTTCAGTTAAAGAACAGTCATTTTAATGTTACAATAAAAAAAAAAGTGGGTAATATTTGTTCTTTCAAACCAGTTAAAGGATTTACTTTTTGACTTTTAATAGTTCAGTGCACAAAGAACAAGTTGAATCCTGACTGAATATTCTAGCGCATTTTAACAAATTTTAGCTCTAGGGTAATCTTGTTTTCTTTTATCCACAGAATTCAGAAAATGCATTGCAAACTGCAGGCACCAATAGAAATTCACAGAATAATACTGCTCCTTGACAGTTTTTTGCATATGCAAATGTCCAAAATCAGTAAGACTTCTGTGGCAGGGGAAAAGGTGCTATGAAGCTAAACACCTTCATACTTTAAATGGCACACAATTCCACCTATACAATGGCCCCCTGGTTTACAAAACAGTGTGGTTTTTTTCCAATCCATGTAAAAGGCTTTACAAAAGAAAATATCACTTTCTAGCTTGATTACACAAGGCACAGATGGAGGTCTTTAGCTGATTTATTTTCCTCTATTGTTTCATATAATGTTTGAACAGGGTATCTGGGTAAGTTGATGATTTTGCATGCTTTTGTGTTGGTCTACCCACTGACATAAACAGAGATTGAGTACCTCTCAAATTTCCAGTGTTTAGATAATAAAGTGTACTTAGAGAATCACTGTAGTATGGACAGAAACACTCTTTTAAAAAGGGATGTAGGAATTATTTTCATATTGAAACCTTCGCAGAAATAACTATAGCTTGACAAAGTAGAAATCTGTCACCAACATCCTACTAGAGTAGCCAAAGTAAATGTTTCCATCAGTGAATCTGGATTATGATGAATATCAGTAACAAGCTGTAACAACTCTAGAAAACACCTCACTTAGCTTTGTTGTTCACTTTTTATGTTTCGTATACAATCAGGCAAAAAAGAGCACATGGGGTGAAGCAGCTGTCATGAGAGACAGGAAATAATTACTTTTTAAACTCCACTAAATTAATGTTTCTTTCATACTGATAAACCTTGGGACCATGCCATTAGTTACTGTGACCTTGTCTTGGTTTATGTCCTTGTAACTAGCAACATAATATGGCAGATGTGCAGGTATTCTTATCTCCCCAGAACCCAGCCTTGTATGAAAAATACATTTGCATGCTCCCAGCATTGTTTAGAAAATATACTGGGGTATAAAGACCACATAATCAGGTCATCCAGATAAACAAAATGTATCTGAATAGAGTGGGTGTGATGGAAAATTCCCAGTGCAGAAGCAGATATGAACTTTTTCAGCTGTGGACACAAACCGTGCTCTCTAATTTCTGTGAATCTCTAGTTTCTACTGATTGAAATAACCTGTGAAGGACTGAACTGCTGACTCATGGGCCGGTGCAGTCACCTCTGTTAAGGTGATTTAGGTGTCAGTGTTAGACTTAGATAACTGGTCTTTACTGGTTGAATAGCTGAGGCAAGATTTTCTACAAGCTTTGCTCAAGCCAGAAATTTTTCTCTTTTGCACTAGGTCATGTTTCTCCTGGTCAGGAAATGTCAAGTTTTAAACGTCAGAGGCACAGAAAAGCAGAATTTTGGGGAAGATGTCACAAGAGAGCTGAAAACATGGCTTATAGCTTTAGGAGGGACAGTCAGAGGACTGCGTGAACTTAACAGAAGTGAGACTGGAAACTGAGCAGACTGAGCAGTAATCAAAGGAAGGTTTAAAGATAAAGGACTTTCCTCTTCTTGAAACTTTTAATTTCTTATCTTTCCCTTACAGATAGGAAATTTTAACAAGCAGAGGAACACTTATTGCTGGGCTTAAATTAGTTTTCAGATAAAATCTAGATTATTTCTAACAAATTAGGAAAAAAAAAGAATATGATAAACACTACATCTGTCAGTTCTCTATTAGTCAAATGACTGAGTCTTATTACAAATCTGCTGAACAGAGTTCATTAAATTAATTTAACAAAAGTGCACAATAACTCATCATTTTTCTTCCTTACACAATGGCTCATGAGCTTCAGGTCAGCTATCAGGCCATCTGCCCAAGAAAGTAATTTCTGAAGTCTAATGTTTTGCACATTTCTGATGCAACTATTTGTGTTACCATTACTACTTCCCTGTTTATTTTCCCCACTAGAACATTGATCCTACCTAAAAGAAAACTGGTCTAAAGTGCTTATCTATAATCCTGCCTGCCAGAACCAGAACATTAATCCTTTGTGTGATTTCCTGTCTAAGGGAGCCATTCATCCACTTTCAGACTTTTCTTTCAATTATTTACAACAGGAGTAGTGGAAAGATGCAACTGTAGCCCTGTGATGCTAAGAGCTCTTATCACAAGAGCTACCATACTGCTGAAAATAATTGCCTTTGTAATGTCAGAAGAGTCATGGTCAACAAATGTTCATTTCCCAGGAGAACCAGTGATAAATGTCATTAGCTTAGAAAATCTCTGACAGTTTGTCCAAACAATCTGACAACAACTATGAACTGGAACCATAACAGATGGATGCCAGAAGTTCATAAAATGAACAGTATAGAAAAGGATCTATGTCACAATAAAAGTAGGATAAATACCTTACTCATTAAAATGCATCAAACTTTCTCTGGAATGTGTTACTACAATAATATTTCTTCTGGGAACAGAAAAGCACTGACACTCCGGTTTCTTCTTTTTAAGGAATGTGCTTACACTGTTGTTATTTTACATAATTCCCTCAATTTTACCTTGCTACAAAAAAAGAGATAATTTCCAAGCATCTCAGTAAAAAAACATAAACATGGCTAAAAATATATAAACATGGCTAAAAAAATCTTTTCTGCATAGTCTGTCATGTTAGCCAGTGCTGTAGCTTAGCTGGGATAATTTATTTCAGGTTAATAAACCTTTCTGCATTTCCTACCCAAATTACATTTTAATTTAGGCTTATAAGCATTACTGATTCAAAGCAGACATTTCAATCGTATAAGGAAATACACTTTTCTGTCCAGTTTTAAATCAAGTGTCTTTGTGCCATCTACCCAATGGCCATTTCTGAATGACAAAGTAAAATTCTTGCTCATGACAAAGAAAAGTTAAAAAAATGCTTTAGATGTAACGCATGTTCCACTTCCTATGTCACAGTGCTATTCCATTTCTTCTCTTTTCATTTTAAAGATTAGTTGCTAAATGCATTTTTCATGTTCTGGTTTAAGATGCCTTTACAGTCCATTACAAACAACCAGCTGAAATGCTGCATCTTCTGTCAATAAGAAACACACTTCAGCTAATGACAAACTTGGAGGAGAAGTTTCAGGTTTTGGATAAAATCTTTGGTAAATTTTTTTGCCAGTCCTCTCTAAAAAAAACCTCTGGATTTCAATAAATCAAGCTAATTTACAAGATTATTTTTAAAAAAACTTCATTTAATTAAGAAAATTTAAATTAATTCAGTTCGTTTTTAAAAAAATACCTCAATAGCAACAGGATGTAACACTGTAATTCCTTATTTATTGAAGACTCCATTTACTCATCTGTGATAGGCTACCTAAAATGTTAATTAATGTTTACTAGGGAATGTCCTAGAGGAGAATAGCAGTGATTTTTCTGGAAAAGTCATCCTGAATAATCTATTTAACTGTGCATTTTTCTGTTGCACATCTGAAACACTGAGTGCTGTATTATGTATGCTAGGATAATCATCTTGTTAGCCTTATAACAGGCTCTTTATTTCAGAAATTCAAGCAGTTTTTCTGCTGTATCTTATCACAACTTCTCCCAATGTGTGGAATTTCATGATTACAAGTAATTTGAGTTGGGTTTTTTTGCATAAATGTAAATACCTGTATTTACATCTAAATTTCAGTGTGGTCCGCAGGAATAAGTTGTCAAGTCTGCAGAAAATTGCAGAGGCGTCTGTATGGTACTTTAACACTTCCTGCCACTATACAAACATTTCCTTCCAACTTCCTTAACTCCACAATGTGTATACAACAATCAGAATCCACTCCAAGAAATTCTGTTTTCAGTTGGTTCCTTCTGCCTCC